GGAAGGAAGGAAGGAAGGAAGGAAGGAAGGAAGGAAGGAAGGAAGGATAGGACAGGGATGGTAGGCACGTTGGTGCACTTATGTTCAAATAACTAACTTGTTTGTTTGCTTTTTAAATCTTTTTTACAATTAATCCACCGGGGGTGTTTGTGTTCCTACTTAGAGGTTCCGGAATCGAGAAAAATGAAGGCTAAATGATCTCAAGGGTCCCCAAATTGAGCAACTGAATAACTCACATAGTCTACTTACCCTAACCCTACCCCTCACATCCTGGCCATCCCTCTGCTAAACAACTAACTCCCACAATGCTGTCCAACTATTTACTAAGACTGTATTGCTATTCTTGTCATCCTTCCTATTACCTATCTCCTTTCTACTTATGACTATAACCGTGTTGCTTGTATCTTTACAATTTATATTGTTGTTATTGTTTCCTAGACGATTTGATTGCTTATTAGTAACCTATGACTATCACTAAGTGTTGTATCTTAGGATTGATGAACGTATTTTATTTTTTCTTTATGTACACTGAGAGCATTTGCACCAAAGACAAATTCCTTGCGTGTCCAATCACACTTGGCCAATAATAAAGATATTCAATTATATTCTATTCCATTTTCTACTGTGCTCTTCTCTTCTCTTCTTTTCCATATTTCTATTCTATTCTACTGTACTCTTCTCTACTCTATTCGCTCTTCTCTTCTCCATATTTCTCTTATTTTCTCTATTCTATTCTATTCTATTCTATTCTATTCTATTCTATTCTATTCCATGCCACTCCATGCCATTCCATTCCATTCTACTCTACTCTATACTCTCTCTTCCCTTCTTTTCTCTTCTCCATATTTCTATTTTTTTTCTATATTCTATTCTATTCTATTTTCTATTCTATTCTACTTCCTTCTGGGATTATCATTACAGCTGGGTTTGCCCCCATTTTTAACCCTGGTGAACTCACCCACTCCCGGGGCCTCCCACCACCGGCTCTAAATCACAAGCAGAATGGCACAATTTGGATTTTTTTACACCGCCTCTTCTTGCTCCAGGGTGGTTGGAGCTCCAAGAGAGCATCGTGCCAGAAAGAGAGATCTGTGCAATATTTTGGTAAACTACGGCCTTAACTGCTCTGGGTTCCCTGTGAATAGACCTGTTTTTATATCCCTGTTTATGCTTATAGGTTTATATGTTATGATTGTACTTATACTTGTTTTCTCATACATGCTTGACAAACTGAAATAAATAAAGGAATAAAGGAATGAATGCATAAATTCCTGGCTGGGAGTAATTGTGGTTAAATACTTCAAGGATTTTGTTGCTGTGAAGGACACCATCACTCCAAAAAAGTCTGCAATGCAGCTCATTTTCCAATCTCATTGTCTGGAGCTGGCTTTGAGGGCGGTAAACTGTGGTTTAAAGCTTGACAGGGGCTCACCTGGCCAATGGTGGCTGATTTACTAAGCCAGTGTTAAAAGGAACAGGATGAAGGCCACTGTGTGAACTCTGAAAAAAAAAAAAAGCTGTTTTTTTCCCCTCCCAATTGAGCTCAATGTACATATTCCTCAACTTAAGTTTGTGTTGTGCCTCGCCAGCAGCAGGTGAGGACGGCTGAGGCCTCGGATGAGGGGCCTGCGTGTGATGCAGGGATGGGGCCAGGACCATCAGGGAGTGGAATGCTGCCTTTGGAGATTGTGGAGGCTGGCAGCAGTGAGGAAGAGGCCCCCGAGGAGCCTGTGCCCAGTGCGCGTACACTCAGGGCTGCTTGAAGGAAAGAGCAGCTGCAGCAGCACAGCCAACTCGAGAGTAAGGCTGCAAGGTAATGGCCCCTCCCTCAAGAAATAAAAGCCAGCTGAGAAACCAGAGTTCTTTGCAGGAAGCAAAGAAGTTTTTGCACCCAAGCCTTGTGGACATTCAGATTATCTTGGTTGGTGTTTGGAGACTCTTTGTGTTTGAAATATTTCTTACTAACTTTATCTAGTGTTCTTGGCAGCCTTGCACAACCTTGGCAAGGCTCATTTTTATCAGACAATGAGTTTGAAACAGCCTTTTAACCAGGAAGGAATGGGATTTGTAAAGAATCATTAAAAGGTTTTGCTGTTTACCTCCATCTGGTGTTCCTTGGAACAAGGTTTGGATCAGAACAGGTTCATTTAGTGACTGTTCCAAGTTACGACGGTACTGGGGAAAAAAGGGACCATTTTACACATTTAACAACTCTTGTGGTCAAAATTCAGACTGCTTGGCAACTGACTTGTACTTATGATGTTGGCAGCATCCCTGGAGGGAGAGGAGGGATCATGTGATCTCCTTTGTCGACCGTTGTGACCGGCCAAGTCGACGGGGGAAGCCGGATTTGTTTAACGACTGGATTACTAACTTAATAACCGCAGCAGTTTGCTTAAGGAGCATGGCGAGAAAGGCCGTAAAATGGGGCCAAAGCTCACATGTCTCACTCAGCAACGGAAATTTTGATCATGTAACTGCGGGGGGGGGGGGGACGCCGCCGCAAGGGCTATCAATGGTCGTTAAGTCCCTTTTCTTCCGAGCCATCGTAACTTCAAACAGTCAGTAAACGAGGACCACCCTGGACGTTGTTAGGCATTCCTGTTTCTGGATCAAAATCCATCTTGGCGCTTTACCTGTAAATTAACCTAAAGGAGGAAGATAAAGAGCCGAGCTGTTTATTCAGGTTAAATTGGGGGTTAAATTTGAAAGCTGAGCAAACAGGAGATTAGAAGCACCTCTTAAACTTTAGCAGCTGGGGGAAAAAGATGAATTCCCAGGAATGGGGCTGCATGCATTTCAAGTACTCACACCTGGCTAAGAAAGCTTAACAGAACCACAAGAGTTGGAAGGGAGCTTGGAGGTCTTCTAGTCCAGCCCCCTGCGTGGGTAGGAAACCTTGCACCATTGCAGAGGAATGGCTGTTGAATCTCTTCTTAAAAGCCTCCAGTGATGGAACAACCACAACTTCTGAGGTTTCTCCGAATAACAAGAATTGGAAGGGACCTTGGAGGTTATCTAGTCCCAACTCCCACCCCCCACTGCTCGGAATACAGAATAAAAGAGTTGGAAGGGACCCTCAGAGGTCATCTAATTGAACCCCCTGGTCAAACAGGAGACACTATAATATCATTCCAGACCTTATATATCATGTCCAGTTTCTTCTTAAAAACTTCCAGTGTTGGAGCATTAGCAACTCCTGGTAGCAGGCTGTTCCACTGGTTGATGGTTCTAACTTCTCATGAAATTTCTCCTTAGTTCTAGGTTGCTTCTCTCCTTGATTAGTTTTCATCCATTGCTTCTTGTCCTGCCTTCAGGGGCTTTGGACA